TGGCTGCTCCACACCTGCTCGTGAGCCCCCAAAGTGTGAGCTTTAAATAAATAAATAAAGGCAAGCATTTGCTTTGTTTTTGTTTTGGCTTTGGTTTGCGGTGGGAGCCAGAGTGTTAAGACAATTTTCCATAAATGCATAAAACATGGAAACATCCCAGCTCCAAGCAGTGTTTATCATGAGCTGTCAAAGCCCAGGTTCTCTTTTGCAGCCAGAACAATGGCTTGACCGTGTCAGACAAAGCTTTTATTTCACTAGAGAATGGGGAAGAAAACCTGATGGAGTCAAGGAGAAAAATTGATGAAATAATTTCCCACCAGCATTAAAACTGCAATGTTCATTGTTACTAAGCTAAGCCCTGAAATTCTGATATTTTTATATACCATATCCCTCCCTCCAGCCATTGATATAAATGGCTCTCACCTCCGATAAGCCATCCTGAGCTTACTGTTGCTCACATAATTTCTTCCAAACTCTGGTACAACTGGACATGAATGCAAGACTCAGAAGGAGCCTCAAAAAGGAATCTGGGATCGCAGAGTTCCATTATGAAAATAAAAACAGGCTGCACCATCACCGGAATATCAGTCGGGTTCTGTGAACACTCACACGTCTCCGTGCACCTTTGATCCTCATTTCCAACACCCACAAGAATGGCGGGGAATGCACCGACTGGGCAGAGTGAGCTCCCCAAAGCCTGCTGCTTATCACCATCAATGCTCCCCACTGCTATGGCTAAAAATCCCTATCGTGAAGATGAAGAGCCAGTCTGTAACCCCATGGCCTGCCGGCCCCGGGCTTCTCACTAATGTCCTCCTATATGCACTGCCTCAGAGGCCACCCACGAGACGGCAGGAGAGAGGTACACTCAGCAGAGGAAGCTGCAGGCACAAGGGGTTGCAGGGAGACACTTGAGAGAGGTGGTTCGGGGCTGGGCGATGGCCCAAGCAGGACGCTGTCCCAACAGTGAGCTCCAGAACAGGTCACACAACGCCTGTTGAGCCTCAGGCTATTCACCTACAAGCCAGGGCCTACTGGGCACTGTCCTGGCAAGAGCTGCCATGTTTTCAGGCCCAGCACCATGTCTGGGTCTGGAAATGCCCTGGGAATAATGTTACGTGATGGGTGACCACGAAAGGGGCACGAAGGAGGCGGCCTCCAGAAGCCACGTGGAAGGGATCCACACCCACACAACAAGGAGCCGGGGAGGCTGTGGGGAGGCTGTGGGCTGTGGGGTCACTGTCACCCAAAGCAGAAGCAGCAAGGAGACCTGTAACCACCTGCCGGGGTATTCTAGGTACTGCTGGGGAGGGAGTGGGGGGAGCGGGCTCACCTCCTAGAGGTCAATCCAGTTATACTGTGGCTGAAGAGGATTTGGAAGAAAGAGGGGCTCTGGGAAGGTGTCCTGCAGAGCCCCTCCCAAGGGGCCTCGGCAATCGCAGGCCGCCTCTGACAGCCCAGCCATGCCGAATGCAAGGCAGGACAGCAGTGGCCGGGGCCACGCACACAGCTGGCCAGGTGTCCTGCGTTCCTTCAAAATTGACCTGAAGGCAGTTATGGAAGCGCCGCCACGGGAAAATGATTTGCTGATGACGACGACAAGTCAAAGGCAATGCCAGGTAAGGGTGTTGCAGCAGGGGCTGGTGCGGCCCAGCGCGGGCCGAAGGGCTGGGAAGGAGCCTTGCTCCCCGAAAGGCCCCAGAGGCACACCCGGCGGGTAGAAAATCGGATCCTACACCGTGCTCAGGAGGGGCAGAACTCGTGAATCAAGATGTAAATGCTTACTACGCACCAGTTGGGTTTTGTGCACTGGGCTGGAGAGAAGCTGGCACTGGCAGGCTTAAGTACTTTAAGTCACAAGTTTATACGGCAACATCCATCCTACTTGTCTGAGCAATCACCTGCACCTGGCAAAGCCTGCCCCTGTGCCTGCACAGGAACTCAGAACTTAGGTTAGCCCCTGAGGCAGCAGCCCAGCCATTCCCGGCACTGGGCAGACATGACTAGTCAATCACTGCACTTCTGCCTCAATAAGACACCAGGCAGCCACAAGCAATCGATCAGAGTGCGCCTACAAAGTGAGAGTCACCTGGCACCCCCGCACACACAGGACGGGGAGGGTCTAACCCCATCCAGTTTGGGTTAGACTGTGGAAGAGGATGCCTTTGAAGCTTCAGGAAACTGAGCAATCCCTTCCAGTTGGAGCATCAAGGAAGAGCTCCAAGAATAATGTGGCTGTGAGAAAGCTTTTAAGTCTGTGAAAAATCTCAGGAATTAACATAACCACCTGCCAAATCATGAAAGAATTATACATTAACCAAAAAAGAAAAAAAAAAAAAAAAGACTGCCTTGGGCATTTCCTTTCAAATCAGAATGTTCTCTCTAATCACATTCAAGTGAATCATGCTTAACCCCACCCCCACAACCACCAGCACCTCATTAGACACTTATTGATTAATCTGATCAAGACACCTCAAATCTTAACAGCAAAATGTTTACTCAGATGCCTCAGAATCTAACTTTTACAAAATGCACAAGCCAATGGGGGGAGGGGTCCCCATTTCTACCAGTGAAGGTTCTGGAATGTCTTTCTGTGATGATGACGCCACACCTGCTGGGTGCAGACCACGCTCTTGCCGGTGCCCCTTGGCCTTAACACAGTGAGCACCAGCCCTGTACCAGGTTGCTCCAGGCTCGGTGCTCACCACCGGCGTCACGCCTGGCCTCACAGCGAGGCCTCCGCGTGCAGGGCAGTCTCTGAGCCTGCGGCCCGGCCACCGTGCCTATTCTGGGGTGACTAGGAAGCTGAATCCCAGGGGGGTGCAAGAAAAGGAGTCTGCCTTGCAGGGCAGAGAGAGCAGTTCGGTGTGGATGAGGGTCTCCTGGGCAGCTGATCAAGAGTCACTTGCAGGACTCCGAAAAATGTGGATGTCCAGACTTCACCGCCAGAAATTCTGGTTTAATGGGGAAGTCCCAACAGGGCCCCAGTGACCGCGATGATCAGATTTGGGAGCCACTGAGCAAGACAAAGACATTTCCCACACTCAGGTTTGAAGTACAGCTGGGCTGGCCCCCTTCGGGAAGGTGCCGTTTCCTCAGTTCACTGGACAAGGGGGTGTCCTGAAAGTTGTTTACCTCTCAGGAATCACCAGTCTATATAGCAGCCTCTACCCAACTCCTAAGAGAACTGCCTGCCTCTGGCGGGCACGTGCCTAGCAGGCAGAGGCAGGCAGACGCGACGGCCGCCCAGGGCAGTCAGTCCAGGCGGTGGCACGGCCTGCAGGGCTCCGCGGCCGGCCAGGGGCGCCACCTGCTGGAGACCCAGCTGAGAGAGAAGCAGAAGTGACAGGAAGCGCTCAGCAGTGCATCAGGCCTGCTGCTGGACGTCAGGAACTC